TGCTGCCCCTGGGCTTGGGGCTGGGAGGTGGCCTGCGCCCTGCTCTTGCCCACGATGGCCCTGTGCCTCCAGGCTGCGTGGAGTTCCTCTCCCGGCCCACCATGGCCTTCGTGCGGCTGCGGGAGGCAGTGGAGCTGGACGCGGTGCTGGAGGTGCCTGTGCCCGTGCGTTTCCTCTTCCTGCTGCTGGGCCCGAGCAGCGCCAACATGGACTACCATGAGATCGGCCGCTCCATCTCCACCCTCATGTCCGACAAGGTCAGCCCCAGCCCGGAGCCCAGCCCTGCCCCAGGCCCCTGGCCCTTGTCCGGTGCCCTCACCAGCCCCCGTCCTGCGTTGGCAGCAATTCCACGAGGCAGCCTACCTGGCAGACGAACGGGAGGACCTGCTAACTGCCATCAACGCCTTCCTGGACTGCAGTGTGGTGCTGCCGCCCTCCGAAGTGCAGGGCGAGGAGCTGCTGCGATCCGTCGCTCACTTCCAGCGCCAAATGCTCAAGAAGCGGGAGGAGCAGGGCCGGCTGCTGCCCCCGGGGGCTGGGCTGGAGCCCAAGTCTGCCCAAGATAAGGGTACGGGCCAGTGCAGGCTGGGGCTGCCCGGGCAGGAGGTGGGTGGTCTGTGCCTTTGCGGAGGGGAGCGGGGCGGGCGGGGGCTGCGGCAGGCACCCTGATGGAGGCCTGGGTTGCAGCGCTCCTGCAGATGGTAGAGGCGACAGACACAGTGGAAGATGATCCCCTTCGGCGGACAGGCCGTCCCTTCGGGGGGCTGATCCGGGATGTGCGGCGCCGCTATCCCCACTACCTGAGTGACTTCCGGGATGCGCTCGACCCCCAGTGCCTGGCTGCGGTCATCTTCATTTACTTTGCAGCCCTGTCTCCTGCCATCACCTTCGGGGGCCTGCTGGGTAAGGAGAGGCTTCAGGTCGGGGTGGGGAGCACACGGGGCTGGGCTGCCAGCCCCTGAGCTGGTTCCTGCCACCCCAGGAGAGAAGACGCAGGACCTGATCGGGGTGTCGGAGCTGATCATGTCCACGGCGCTCCAGGGTGTGATCTTCTGCCTGCTGGGCGCCCAGCCGCTGCTGGTGATCGGCTTCTCCGGGCCCCTGCTGGTCTTTGAGGAGGCCTTCTTCTCGGTGAGGGCCCACAGGCCACGTGGGGTGCCCCTCCTCTTTCCGGAACATGCCCAGCCAGTTAGCCCTGGGCTCTGGGCCTGACTGGGCCTATCCCCTCCCTGCCCCGCAGTTCTGCAAGAGCAACGACCTGGAGTACCTCGTGGGCCGCGTGTGGATTGGCTTCTGGCTGGTGCTTTTGGCCCTGCTCATGGTGGCCCTGGAGGGGAGCTTCCTGGTGCGTTTCGTCTCCCGTTTCACCCAGGAGATCTTTGCCTTCCTCATCTCCCTCATCTTCATCTACGAGACCTTCTACAAGTTGGTTAAGGTGGGCGAGGCTTCGGGACTGGGGGGAGCCGGGGTTGTCTGGGCCTCTCTGTTCTCTCTCCTGGGTGTGAGGCCAGGCTGGCTCGGAGATCCCGGCCACAGTCCATCGGGCCCGCAGAGTGTGCGCTGGTTTTTCCCCTTGCCTCCCCACAAGTCCTGCCAGGTCATCAATACACACCCAGGCTTGAGATCAATCTGAAAAACATTTTTAATAACAAAGTAATCACTTTTGTTAAAGTGGCAAACAGCCCAGAAATGTAGACAGGAAAAAGCCCCTGAGAGGACAGACGGTCACAGTCAGCACTTCAGACCCATGTCTGTGACAGGCTCGGTCCTGCACTCCACATCCTGCTCCTCCCGCCTGGGTGGAGCCACACTCCCGCTCCTTCCCGAGTTAGAGCAGCCTCCCAATCCTCAGGCTTCCTGTGCGCACATCTGGTCTTCTGAGTTATTTTCTTGCTAATAGTTTGTTGTTGTTGTTAATCCTCACCCGAAGATATTTTCCCATTGATTTTTCAGAGAGTGGCAGGGAAGGGGAGACAGAGAAAGAAACATTGATGTGAAAGAGACACACCTATTGGTTGCCTCCCGCACGTGCCCCCTACTGGGGCTGGGAATTGAGCCTACAACCAGGTATATGCCCTTGACCCAATCAAACCCAAGATCCTGCCCTAACCGGTTTGGCTCAGTGGATAGAGTGTCGGCCTGCGGACTGAAGGGTCCCAGGTTCGATTCCGATCAAGGGCATGTACCTCAGTTGTGGGCACATCCCCAGGAGGGGGTGTGCAGGAGGCAGCTGATCGCTGTTTCTCTCTCATCATCAATGTTTCTAACTCTCTATCCCTCTCCCTTCCTCTCTGAAATTAATAAAGATATATTAAAAAAAAAAAACACCCAGATCCTTCTGTCCTTGGGCCGATGCTCTAACCACTGAGCAACCGGCGAGGGCTGGGATATTTTCTTAATCAACAAGGAAAGCCCCTCGAGGGCAGGCTGGCCATCCCGCCCCACTTGTCTTGTTCAGCATATAGTTGAGCCCGGAAATGTTGCTGATGGAGCCCTTTGTCCTCTCCCCAGATCTTCCAGGAACACCCCCTCCATGGCTGTTCGGTCTCCAACAGCTCTGAAGTGGACAGCGGCGATAATACCACGTGGACTGGGGCAGGGGCCACGCTGGGGCCAGGGAATGGGAGCTCGGCCCAGCCCTCTGGGCAGGAGAGGCCCCGGGGCCAGCCCAACACAGCCCTGCTGTCGCTGGTGCTCATGGCCGGCACCTTCTTCATTGCCTTCTTCCTGCGAAAATTCAAGAACAGCCGGTTCTTCCCTGGGCGGGTGTGTGGGCTGGAGGCCTGAGGGAGGCTGAGCTGGGGGTCGGAGGGGGTGAGGAGGAGTCAGGTCTGCCTGGATCGGGGCAGGAGCCTCTGGTCTGAGCATGGCGCTTGCCCACAGGTACGGCGGGTGATTGGGGACTTTGGGGTGCCCATCGCGATCCTCATCATGGTGCTTGTGGATTACAGTATCGAGGACACCTACACCCAGGTAAGGCAGAGCGCACAGTGAGAACGTGCTGCCTGGCTCGGGGCTCTGGATGTTGCTCTGCGGTCCCCAACCCCAGAGCCGTCTCCTACGGGGCAGACGGGCCCTTTCCACGGCACATCCTCAGGGCTCAGCCTGCCTGTGCAGCTCAAGGCTCTCGCACCAAGGTTCACCAGCCCCACCTCTGTCCTGCAGAAGCTGAGCGTGCCCAGTGGATTCTCGGTGACAGCCCCGCAAAAGCGGGGCTGGGTCATCAACCCCCTGGGTGAGAACAGCTCCTTCCCCGTGTGGATGATGGTGGCCAGCCTGCTGCCTGCGATCCTGGTCTTCATCCTCATCTTCATGGAGACGCAAATCACCACGTGCGTGGTCCTCGCCAGGGGGGTGGTGTGTGGATGGGCCAGAGCCCTGGCTAGGGGCTGATGCATGAGGGGAACCCAGACTGCCAATGCGGCGTTGATTTTGTAGATGGCTGCTGTGTGCTGGCACGGCCCGTCCAGGCTGGAGCTGTCCTGGAGGCCAGGGGCAGGCAGAAAGGGCTCAGTTCCATGATGGAACTCTCATTTGGACGGAATGGGTGGGGGCCACCAGGTTCTAAAAGCAGAGGCTCTGGAAAGACCCTGCCTGTTGAGCTGGCCCCAGGTTCAGTGAGCGCCCGTCCCACTCAGGCTGATCATCTCCAAGAAGGAGCGCATGCTGCAGAAGGGCTCCGGCTTCCACCTGGACCTGCTGCTCATCGTGGCCATGGGCGGCATCTGTGCTGTCTTCGGCCTGCCCTGGTTGGCTGCTGCCACCGTCCGCTCTGTCACTCATGCCAACGCACTGACCGTCATGAGCAAGGCTGTGGCTCCCGGGGACAAGCCCAAGATCCAAGAGGTCAAGGAGCAACGGGTGACAGGGCTGCTAGTTGCCCTGCTTGTGGGTATGTTCACCTCTTGCCCCTGCCTGTCCTGGTGGGGCCCCGGGTCCACTGGGGTTATGGAGCTCTGGGGACCACTGTTTCTCCCCTCCTCCCAGGCCTCTCCATGGTCATCGGGGACCTACTCCGGCAGATACCCCTGGCCGTGCTCTTCGGGATTTTCCTCTACATGGGAGTTACCTCCCTTAACGGGATCCAGTTCTATGAGCGGCTGCACCTGCTGCTCATGCCGCCCAAACACCACCCAGATGTCACCTATGTGAAGAAGGTGAGACCCCACTCAGAGGGCTGCGTGGGTCACCCTCCAGCCCCCCATCTGCCCACTTTGGCCAGCCACCATTCAGTCTGTGCAGACCGGCTCTGGTGCGCACCCAAGAAGGCACTTCTGTCTTCACCCCTGTGGAGAGGAAAAGGGTCAGCCATCCTCTGGATGTGGCAGAACCAGATGTCCCAGCAGGGCCCAGGGCCCTCAGCTGGGGAGAAGCCTGCGCTCACCCGTCTCATCCCACCCTGCCCACCCCCAGGTCCGGACCCTCCGGATGCACCTGTTCACAGCCCTGCAGCTGCTCTGCCTGGCCCTGCTCTGGGCCGTCATGTCCACAGCGGCCTCCCTGGCCTTCCCCTTCATCCTCATCCTCACAGTGCCTCTGCGCATGGTGGTGCTCACCCGCATCTTCACGGATCGAGAGATGAAATGTGTAAGGCTGCCTGCCCTCCTGCCCCAAGCCCCTTTTCCGGTCCCTGCCAAGGTCCTGGTTGGGGTCAACCCTCCTGACACCATCCTCCCCTACAGCTGGACGCCAATGAGGCAGAGCCCGTGTTCGATGAGCGGGAGGGTGTGGACGAGTACAATGAGATGCCCATGCCTGTGTAGCTGCCGCCGGGACGGACGATGGACAGAGGGACCAGGGGCCAGGGATGCTCTCCCATCCCCTTCCCTCCTCATTTTTATTTAAGTGATTAATTTAAAGTCCCCTTCCTCCCCTACCCCCCGCAGTAAAGTGCTTCGGCCCCCACCTATCCTTGGCCTTCTGTCTCTGTATGAGGGGTGGGGCATGGATGGAAAAGAAGTGGGGAGACCCAGACTGCTCCCCGTCCCAGAAACAAGATGTGCAATGAAGAAGGGACTTTAATGAACAAAAACAGAGGGATCCAAAGTGCAAACTGTCTACCCCCCATAGGGGAGCCATCGTGAACCCCATGTGCATCCCCTCACCCCCCTTCAGGACCCCAGCGGAGGCCCAAGGCTTGCAGCTTCTGTCTCAGGTAGCTCTTGAGCTGGTGAAGGCCTCTCTGTGACTCCAGTTCCTCAAAGGGTAGCTGTGGGGAGAGGCAGCAGGTTACCCACAGGCCCTGTGGATGAGGGAGTGGGCGCACACAGTGTCACCAGGGGCGGGGCAGGGGAGGCTCACCGGCAGCAGCTGGTAGCCCAGCAGGCCCAGGTGCCGTTCCCGCAGGGCCCGGGAGCCCAGCAGCACCCTGCTGTCCCGGCAGAAATGCCAGCGTTCCTGCAGCATCAGCACCACCCTGGAGAGAGAGCGGCTATGGCTCAGGGTCCCTGTCCGTGAAGGCAGGGGAGGCCCTCCTGCCCTCTTCCCTTACCTCTGGGCAGGGTCTTGGGTAGTGGGCTGAGAGGCAGCCTGGCCCTGGGGACAGGACCGGGGAGGGTAAGGTAAGAAAGGGTCCTGGGTCCTCACAGGAAGCACAGCACCAGAGCTGCTGACACACAGCAGGAAGTCTGAAAGGCGGGAGAAGAGAAAGGGCCAGTGGCTTTTAGCCACAGCTCCATGTCAGCCTGCCGCCTGCCCACATACCTGGAGCTCACCTGTGCAATAACCTGGAGGCACGGTCAGGTCTTGGCGGTATTTCTCCTCCCCCAGCAACTGGCGCAGCCCCTCCGCCACTATATCCTTGTGACTGAGGGGAGTGGAACACCGATAGCAGGAAGGCCCAGGAGTCTCTGGTCGCGCCACACACCCCCACCACCACCACCAGCTCTGCGACCCTAGGCAAATGCCTTTGTTGCTTCAAGGCCCATTTATTTATGACTGCTAAGAGTACCAGCCAAAACAGGTCCCAATTCTCTGGCCTTTCTAATCTGCTTCTGGCTGGTCCCTTCCCCTCCCCAAGCTGCCCCATCCACCTGTACTTGCAGCGAGCGCGGTCAGTGATGAGTGGCTGGGGGAAGATGGGCACTTTCTGCCTTCGGGGAAGGCGGGGACCCTGGTATCCTGGGAGTTCCAGCTCCACAGCCGTGTCCAGTAGGGAGAGGTAGCGCCGCACGATTGGGGCATGAGGGGTGCCTACAGGCAAGGGGACTGAGGTTTGCTGGGCTGCAGACTCCCACCCCCTCTACCCTGCCCACCAGCCCTCCGGACCCCAGCCAGCCTTCCTGTCTGCGCACCACTGATGTGGCTGATGAAACTTGGGGAAAAGACAAACTGCAGGGCTCGGGAGGGCAGGCACCGAAGCTGGCACAGTGACATCAAGATGTTGACAGTGGCCAGGGGGGCCGCCCCTGCTTCTCGAGCCAGGATCCTTTCAAGGCAGGGCACAAACTGCTGTTCCAGGGGAAAGTAGTTCAGCCGCCCAAAGGGCAGGACCAGCTTCTGCACCACCTGTAGAGGGAGAGCAGCCATCACCCCGCAAGGAACATTCTCCAAAACCCTTCCCTGAGGTGAGCCTCAGGGAGGCTTGATCTGCACGTTTAGACGGTCACTGCCAAGGCAGAACCATTCCTCTACCGGACACACACCAGAAGTTTGTGGCATAAGCAGTGTCTTGAGCCCCATGCAGTCAATCACCAAACAAGTGGAGGAGACACTGCTATGGGGCCTGGCCCTGCAGGCCTAGAGGAGTGGGATCAATGAAGTGAGGACGGTGCTGAGTGCTTGCAGGACTGCACGTGCTGGGGGGTGAAGCCAAGGAGGATGTGAGCAAAGATGGAAACCTGGGGATAGGGCCTGGCTGGGTTGTTTGCTGTGGGACACGGCAGCCAATCAAGCTGGACAGGGGCTGAGCCTGGCGGTGTCTGGGAAGCACGGGAGGCAAGCCCACCTTGCTGCTGAGCTGGGCTTCCTGGACCACCAGGAAATGGGCAATGGCTTCCAGAAGCTGGGGCTCCCGCAACCGGTGTCGGGCCAGGTGCTGGGCCAGGCGCACCATCACGTGGGGAGTCAGTTCCTCTGGCCTGGCCTCTGTGAAGGACAGCCTATCACACTGGACCCTCAGGCCAGACCTCCAGACTAGTGTCCACCTTAGCCCAGACCCCACCACCTGCCTCTTCCTCGGCCCCTGACCCCCAACCTGCCTTTAAACCCCTCCAGCACCTGCCAAGCTTCGGATGAGGTGCTGCTGTGGATGCCGCAGAAAGTGGGGGCAGCTCAGAGCAGCTTCCAACCTTTGCCCACCGCGAAGGACAGGTTGCAGAGGGGGAGGAGGCTTCGGGGGGAGGCGGAACCTTCGCTCCCGCTCCAGGGCACACACCAGGGGCGCGTCAGACGGGAAGCCTGAGAGGGAGAGGGTCAGAGGAGGCGGTCCTGGGAGCGGAGCGGAGCTGCTTCGCTCCAGTCCTGGGGTTGTTAGTGGATCCTAACCTCTCTCATCTCCGTTTCCTGGGCTGGAAGGTGTGCTACAGTGTCAGTGGAAACACTGGGGAAATGTGAAATACCATGTGAACTAAGGGATCAGAACAGCTTATGGGGAAGGCTTTATACAAAGATGGCGAATACGTTCTCATCTCATTCTATTGGTGACAGTGTGGTGGCTCCTAGAGCACGGGGGTAGCAGGAATCTGAGGCAGCAGCAAACGCTGCTGACTCCCGCCGCCACAGGCCGTTCTGGCAAGGCCCAAGAGGCGTATCCTGTCAGTGATCTGGGTCCTCTCCTGCTCTTCTCTATTCTTTCATTCACACCCACCCCCAGGCAGCCTCCTCACCAAGTAAGACTGCAAGGTGCAGACACACGTGGATGGTGTGAATATCAAAGGAGGGGCAGTTTCGGATGATGAGCTGACTCAAGTCCTGCAGGGAGGTCTGCTCCACAGGCGGGGGCTGTGGCTGAGACCCCAAGAGCTGGCCCAGACGACGAAGCGCCACTGGGTAGTGGTGGGCGCGCACCTTGGTGGGGTTCTGGCCCAGCCAGCGCACCAGCTCCCCAGGGCTCCTCGCCTGCTCCAGGAGCCGCTGCAGCCCCTGCGCGGGACCTGCGGGAGGGCCTCCTCCGGGAGGCCGGTCCCCCCACTTGCTGGGCCCCAGGCAGAAGGGCTGTATTGGCGGGAGCAGCAGCAGGCCAGACAGCTGAGCAGCAGAGGCCTGGGCAGCAAGCAGGACTCGAAGCATGGAGTTGGGTGACGGAGACCCTGAGGGCGGCCCAGAAAAGGGAGTGAGGTTTTCCCGAAGGGGAGAAAAGCCTGCTGTCTACTCGTCACCTCACTCCCCATTCAGAGGGGTCTAGGGTCAGAGCAAGGCAGACTCCTGCTCACCCTTCTCTACGACTGCCCTGGTCCTCTTCCCCGCCCGCCCCTCCGCCTCCTTCCATCCGTGGAACAGCCATCCTAATCCTTGTGTGCCCGGCGCAGGGCCGTTTACAGAGCAATCCACATGCATTATCTTCTCGGTCCTCCGCACACGCCCCCGGGGCGCAGGCAAGGCTGGCGTCACCTCGATCGCACAGGCGGAGAACCCAGACCCAGAGAGGTGCGGGGGGAAGGCCAGCCCGGGGTCACGAATCCGGTTAGTGGTTGCGCCCAGCCTGGAGCCCAGCCAGCCCCGGCGACCGGCCTTCCAGACCACCTCCCCCGCCCGCAGGAGGCGGCGGCGGCGCAGAAGGTGGCGCGCGGGCTCCGCCGCCGGACGGTCCTGGGTTCCACGCTGGGTGCTCCCACTTACCAGCGGCGTGACCTTGGGCCAGCGGCTGCGTCTCCTGCCTAAGCCTTCTCGCCTGTGAACCGCGCGCGCCGCGCCCACCGCGGAGGACGCCCGTGGAGCCCGAGTGCACAGGTTTGCAGAGGCGCGGAGTCGGCGGTGTCGGGGGCCCCCACACCCACCCAGGCCGGAGACCCCCCAGAGACCTGGTCACGGTGGCCAACACCAACTCCCGCAGCCCTCCCGCGGCCCGCCCCGCAGGGGCCGCCCCTACATGACTCCCCAGGCCCCGCGCAGGTCGCTCCCTCGGTCGGTCTTGGGGCCCGGGAGCCGAGCTCCCCCCGCGGCCTCCTCATCGACCGGCCACCGAGCCCGCCATCTTCCCAGCAGCCCCCGGACGCCAATCGCCGCTCAGTCCTCGGCCAGCAGAGACGTGGCTCCCGTCAGGCCCTGCGCGCCGGGCGCCGCCAGCCCCGCCCCCGGCTTCCGGCAGCTGCGCAGGCGGGGCCGGGGGCGGGGCCGGGGGCCGGGGCGGGCCCG